GCTTCACTGGAAAAAGAGTCCAAAAAGATGAAAACTCCTCATTCTCGGGATCGGCACCTAGGCATTGCGAATGGGTGCTTGGGCGCTAGCTTCCTGAAAAAATCAATAACATAGTTGCTAGACGCTAGGGGATAGTACATAGCGCCTGGGCGTTATTTTCAGTTACATTGCACAGTTTTCAGTATTGTTATCATAACATTTTCTCCTGATGTTCGATTAAGGCGATTCGAAGTGCGTTGGAAAGCTAATGTAAAGAGAGACAATTTTTCTAGTAGTAGATATTTTCCAATTCGGATGTTTACTAAGTCAAAAATGGATCTCAGTCTCCGGCTGAAAATCTGGAACATTCTTGTGTGGTTGAAAATTGATTTGTGAAGTTATATGGTCATTTTTCACTTTTCTTGACATCTAATTGCACCAATTGACCCCTAACATTCTTGAATCATCATTTCATCTCCCATTTCATCTTTGCATTATTTACAACCTGGTCCTTGAACTTTCATTTTCTTCCACTTCGGTCCTTTTTTGCTTGTTTCTTTAAATTTCCATCATTTTCATTCATTTGTAACATAAATCAAAATATAAAGCATCAATTTATCATACAAATGCAAGTATAAATGGATGATAAACCTAATAATCTACATTGTTATCAGTGGTCTTATGGGATAATTCTAAATATGATAGTTACTATTTTGATAATTTGAATCAAATTCATCACTCTCGAATTTCATTATGAAGTTTTCCCAAAAATTAGTATCTAAATAAGTTTTGATGAACCAACCTCGGAATTAATCCAAAAATTTAATAAAGAAATAAAGATTTTGTTCTTTTTATAACGTAAAATTCAAAAACTAGTAAATTCAAAAACCGGGTGAAACCATCAATTCTTAGTTATTTTATCCGTTTTTACCTTGCAACAATATTGGTTTTGCCTAGTATCCAATTCTTATAACGCTGGTCTTAACTGAAACTATAGTGCGAAGATTATTCATTTATAATTTATGGAAATCGGAGTGGTTTCTTTTTGTAAACATTCACAGGAGATAAAGGACTTGTAGGATTGTTCTGTGCCATGAAATTTCTTTATTTTTCTTGTGTTTCTCTAGCTACCTTTAAATTTGAAAGAGTTTCATGTAAATTTTACAGTTTAGTGTAACGAGTGATCTTGATAATTATTAGCCACAACCACAAGATAAGAAAATCAACAAGTTCAATGAACCACAAATTTTATTAATTTCTAACAAAATTTACTAAAAATTCAATTTTTTTTTTGCAATACCAAACAAGACCAAAGTAAAGATTACTTTTCTTTTAAAACAAGAAGTTCAAACAAAGAAAGGCTACTGAAAAAGACTATCCAACTCAGCAATAACTCATTGGGAAAAAGTTATGAATTATCAAATCAATAATTTCCCATCATTAAATAATGCCGTGGATTAAAATAATGACTTCTTGAATAAAAAACAAAAAGGAAGACTTGACTTAAACCCTATCCCACCAATTGATGTTTATTTTCCAGAAAAGATCCTCACCGTGGATTAAGGTAATGACTTCTTGAATAAAACAGAATGGAAGACTTGACTTAAACCCCACCCCACCAATTGATGTTTATTTTCCAGAAAAGATCCTCGCCGTGGATTAAGGTAATGACTTCTTGAATAAAAAAAAGGATGGAAGACTTGACTTAAACCCCGCCCCTTCAATTGATGTTTATTTTCTTGAATTAAAAAAAGGATGGAAGACTTGACTTAAACCCCGCCCCTTCAATTGATGTTTATTTTCCAGAAAAGATTCTCGTTGTGGATTAAGGTAATGACTTCTTGAATAAAAAAAGGATGGAAGACTTGACTTAAACCCTGTCCCTTCAATTGATGTTTATTTTCCAGAAAAGATTCTCCAAACAATTATGTACTTTAATTTGGATAAATTTATTAGTAAATTTTAGGAGGAATACTATTGGACATCACGAAATTACCTTCATCAACATGGAATATCTTTAAACATATTTTTATTGCAGTTCTCTAGTTTGAAGAAATTCTTTTCTTGTAATATAGATAATTTTTCCTTAATAAACTGCTCTGAAAAATGAATTACGAGAAAATAAGTATGAAATACTTGTTAAATATATGAGTTCCAATAGATACTAAAGACTTGGAAAAGAGTTTGGACTTTTTTGTAACAAAAACAGAAAATCACACTACAAGAAAATATGGCTTTCTCGACCAACAATAAAATTGTCTGTGAAAATGCTTCTTTACCGACCAAAAAAATGACTTAGTCGACCATTTCTTTTGCTGACCACATTTTTCCCGACCCCCCAAAAGTAGTCAATAAAAACCCTCTTTGCCGACCACTGTTTATCGACCCACCAAAAACTAGTCACTATAAATAATATTTACCGACCACAGACAATTGTTGGTCGGCCTAAACGAGTTATATTTGCAGACTACTTTCATCTAGTCGGTAAATAACTAATTTTTGAGTAAATTTTTTTGGCAGAGGACATGGTGCCTAAACATTTACTAACCAAAAATAATTATTGGTCAACCTAGACGAGATATATTTGCTGACTAGATAAACGAGTCGGTGAATATCTTATTTTTTGGGCAATTTTTGTGGCGGGGGACATGGCGCCTTCACATTTACCGACCAAAAATAAATATTGGTCGGCTTAGACGAGATATATTTGCTGACTAGATAAAATGAGTCGGTGGATATCTTATTTTTGGGCAATTTTTTTGGCGAGGGATATGGCACTTAACATTTATCGACCAAAATAATTATTGATCGGCTTAGATGAGATATATTTGCCTACTAGATGAAAGGAGTCGATGAATATCTTAATTTAGGGCCAAATCATTTGGCAGAAAATAGAGTGATTAGATACTTACCGACTAAAATAATTCATAGTCGGGATACATGAAGACATACTTGCCGATTAAATGAAAGGGGTTAGTAAATGTCTTATTTTTTGGGCTTTAATTTTTTTCTTGAGGGAATATGGCATCTCACATATGTAATGACCAAAATAGTTATTATTCGTCCTACATAAGACATTATTGCCTATCGAATGAAGGGGCTTAGTGAATATCTTATTTTTGGGCTAAAATTTCTTGTGGAGATATGGTAGCTATAATTAATTGGACTTCTAGGCCCAAAATACATTTAGTTAGGATAAGAAATTGTTATCTATCCTCTCATTACTAAAAATTTATCAATGACAAATTTCCATTGCTCTTACCAACATAATTTTGGATTTTATCGTGACCAATTAATACTAATTTTTTCATTTTTTAAATAAAAAAAATTAAATTATCAATGGATTTACACCTATAATAATCTTTTTGATAAAATCCATGGTAATTCGTTGGTAAAAATAAATTAGTAATTTTTCAATGGATTTTCCAATAGATGACTTCGTATGTAAATAGAAGAAAAAATATTAAAAAAAAAATTTGATGATGTATACAAATAATTTTACTTAATCAGTATTGTTCTCCAACCTCCCGCAAATATATTAGGATAATTAGGAGCGGGCGCGGTCTAATTCTAAAGGGAATCATACCTAACAGAATATCAATGGGAATATTTGAAATAAAACCATTGGTTCCGATACAATCTGTCCGATTCTTTATATTGAAAAATTGTAAAAATAGAATATAAAACTACTTGTGATACTAAAAATAGATAAACGTAGAGTAAGAAATCGCTTGTCATGCTTGTAATCTAATAAAAAAATCAATTAAACAAGACAACAAACAAAAATACATTCCAAAGCTCAAGATCAACTCATAAAGGCAAAAAAAATGAATAAACTATTGAATGCATCATAAATGGTAAAATCTCGATCGAAAATTGATTCTTAGAAAAATTCGTATAACAATAAACTGATTATCTTTAGTAATCCTCCAGGAACTTGATTCTTAATGGCCGATCACTTTGAAAACAACAAGAAATTTTAATTCCTGTAAAATATTGAACTAAAATATATTTTTTCTATGGATTGCATTAAAACTATGAATTTGTAAAGTATTTATAAAATTATTTAAATTATAGTTTTGATTACCCACTAAAAAATTGAAGAAGCAGCATATAGAAAATGAAATTTGAACGCGAGATAATTTTGGGATCTATTGTTCAAAGATCAAGTGCATCTTGATACAAGCATAAAGCAAAATTCGAGAGAACCGAATTCACTACTAATTCTCAAGACAGTACTGAAAATCAGATCGAAATCGATTGGTTCTCGATCTACGGTCCAGAGTTGACCCATTTAATGGAGGAATCAAACCGAACCGGTCGATTCTATTTGGTTTTGGTCCAGTTCCACCGATTCCGTGGAAAAGATGCCCAACCTTGAAGATAATTACTGCAGTGTATTAGTACGGTTACAAACATTCTTCTCTAAAGTATCATAGTCATTTGGTACACTAAATCTTAATATCATAATTAACTTTCTATCTAGCATTCTCTATATACATTTGTTAAATATCAACGACTTGACCTTTTGAATGTATACTGTCAATACTCTATTCGTGCCCTTCAAATAATTTCACGGTTCTTTCTTATGGAACCATACATATTTAGTAATTATAAAAACCAAACTTGAACCACGACTATCAGTTTTGAAGTATTTTAACATATTGATTTTAAAATTTTGAAGTATCAAGACTAATTGTAGAATAATCAATCTAATTAACAAATTATTAATATGAAAAAAAAAAATTATTGTTCTTGAAGTGTTTTATTTTTTTCTGTATGTTTTAAAATTAATTGTTAACTTAAATTTTAATCTACTTTTTAAATTAAGCCCATGTTTGGTAGAAATTAAAATTTAGATTTAATCTAAGTCAAAATTAACAAATAATTTTAATCATACATTTTATAAGATCCACAATTTTTCAATCATATATTTCATCAAGTTTTTTAAAAATTTACTAAAAATATTTAAATCAAACAAAAGCCATATGTTTGGGGCAAAAATTTTGGCGGGCAAAATGGTTAAAGTCCCACCCCGAAACGTAGGTTTAGGGTAAGAAAATTTTCAATTTCGCTCCTCTCCAAATCTGCGTCTCCTCCCCTGTGCCGTTCCTCTCTCTCTCCCTCTCTCTTCCCCCCGTCTGCATCCTTCCCCCCCGCCTCTCTCTCCCCGCTCTGCATCTCCCCAGAGCATTCTTGGAGTTGACATTGAAAATTTTTAACCCACTATGAACGCAAAAGGGCAAAAACAAACCAAAACGGCAAGATCCCGAGAAATCAAAAGGGCAAAATCAAGAATAAAAAAGTAAGAACGATGGTGGAGGTCGGAGATTTGGAGCTGATGTGGCCTTCATCGCCATCAACAGTTCACCTCTCAATTTTCTCTCCGTTGACGATGGTATTTTTCTTCAAAATAATCTTGTACTGTATTGGGTGATTGATATGGATTTTCCGGTCACAACTACATTTTATGGCATGTTTTTTATTTGAATCGAGATATGCATTGGATTGAGAATTGAGATTAAACAATTTGGTTCAAATTAATTTTATTTATTCAGAAAATTACCAGCTCCGTCCTCTGTTTTGTTTGAAGAGAAAGAAAAGGCTGAAAAGCAGTAACTTTTGAGTTTTGGTATTGAATTACATGAATTTAGGCATTTAGCTTTGTGTTGGAATTACATTGAATCATTGATATTATTTTGATTCCTAGATTCTTATATGTTTTTTCATGTATTGGACCGAGCAGTGGGCAGCAAATGAGGCTTTATGTGAAATTTGAATTGCATAGAGTTTAGACATTGAGGCAATCAGATCCTGGAGCTTGGGTGCTATTTCTGTGATTACCAAGAGAGCTGGGAACTAAAGGTCAAACACTTGTAAAAACCATCACTGGAGTAATATGATTAGAAGTAAGTACAGGAACACGACGAATTTAAGTTATTAGCTTTCTCTTTTTGGAGTTGATAATTTTTTTATATAATAATAATCTCGAGTGGGCAAGACAATTTCGCTTGCTGATCCAGTAATGAATACTAGTTTGTAGGATTGCAGAATTTAAATAGTGGGAATCTTTTGGATTTGCTAATGCCATTAATTGATTTTAAGTTCCAACGACCATGTTAATTGTCCTCTAGCTGCTTGTATTACTCTTTCATGTCCCTCTTATAATTATGAATTTTTGACTGTTATGAAATAATCTTCTAAACTCAAGTTACTCTTGCATTTCATTAAATCTAATTTATTAACATTTTGTGAAACTACAGGAGAGTTGATTGATATAATTTTTGTTCTAATTTTACAGTTTAGGAAGGGTTAGATGTTGAGTGACTTGAGTCAAATGCCATACCTATAATTTTTGTTGCTTTATTATTGATTTTAAGTTAATAAATTTAGTTCCTTAAAACTTTTATAAATTAAAAAAATCGATTGCTTGCTATGACTTAAGATGTAATGACTCGGATCTCTGTACCCAAGCCATTAGATTACGTACTATCTGCTTTGGGCGGGCCTTGCGTCCACTTACCCCTCATGGCTTTCAGTCGCGTCCCGCAGGATTCGAACTCAAAACCCTTCCCTTAAGTAAGACTTAAGTTGAATTTTGGTATATACCGATTCGATCCGAGCTCATGGAATTGGTATCCCAATGAGCCGTCTATCGAATCGTTGCAATTGATGTTCGATCCGGAAGAGAAATCATTGCACTTACGGTCTTACCAATTGGGAGAGAATCAATAGATTCCTTTTCGGGAGCGATTCATTCGAGGAAACCTTTGCACGCCTCCGTTACCATTTGGAAACAAGTTGATAGGATCCCCTTTTTTACGTCCCCATGCTGCCAGTTGCCCAATTGGTATTAGGATTCAATTTAAGTCTTATTTAAAGGAAATGTTATGAGTTCGAATCTTGGAGGACGTGACAGAAAGCCGTGAGGGGTAAGTGGGCGCAACGTCCGTCCAAAGCGGACAGTATGTAAGTTAACGGCTTGGGTACAGAGACCCGGGTCGTTACATAGGAGGCCAAATTCTAAAGTTCGCCTCACGACCTGTGAAACACAGGTCCGGCCCTGTTTGGGAATGCATACGATATGCAAGGGACTAATGGGGATTTTGTTTTTGGACATTATTTATGTTTGATTAATATGAAGTTTCTAATATTGCAGAATATCTAAATGCAATCCAGTTCAGCTGTGAAGTTATGATGATTACCATTTATGATCTGATATTAAATCTTATGAGGAAATTACGACATGATTACAGTGTTAAGTTTGAAGGGATTGGATATGAATTTGAGCAATTTGTAACTCAACTGCTAATTTGGTCTTGACACACCTTTTGCATTGGCGCTGAAGATCTACTTAGCTATTATTTGCATCTCCATTGGCTTCCAATTTATAGAAAAACTGTTGGTCATTTGTGCTAAACTTCGAGTTGAGGTTTCTTGCCACTTCCTTTGGTTTACCTATGATCTTAAAATTTTTTCCAAAGTTGGTAACATGAAGTAGGTAATTAATCTACTACCTTGTGGGTGCTTGTTTAACATGGATGCTAATAATTTTCAGTCATTTATTTTCCTTAAGGATAAATGCTTATTTAATTTCGTCTTTCTACAACAACTGATGCTCTTTTACAAAATTTTGGGCAATGTGGTCCATCTTGTTGTCTTTGTTTATTACGTGTTGTTGTACTTTGATATCTTTTATTGTATGTGCGTGCATATGGCATGTTATGCCATTATATGATTTCAATATTGCTGTCAACATTAATTTCTATTCAAATTTGGATGGTAGGTATATTTCAATTTTCCCCAGGGATGTGATGTCTGTAATCATGTCTGTTTATTTCTGTGTGGTTAAATCATGACAACCTTCTTCAAGGTATGATAAATGACGTGATGAATTCCTTTGAAGTCATATTTTTATGTTATGGAGTTGATATTGTGTGATTTTTCTTTAATAAATAGGATGGAGTCATTTTGTGCGGCTCACTATTGCTGTGTGAACAAAGATGCTAAAAGGTCCAAGTATTCTGGTAAGTTACTCAATTATCACTTTTATTTTTGTGGTCAAGTTCTCATTTTCAATCATGACCAGCCTGAATATGTATTTAAAACTTTGCAGATACTAAATCAGTTTTGGAAAAAGGATCTTATTTTAGTCCTGAATGTTGCAGCACTAAATTTGAAGTCCTGAATGTTGCAGCACTAAATTTGAAGTCACATACGAGGAGGCTGTTGCTTTAAACTGGCAAGAAGAGCTTATCAGTGAAGAGGCAGCTTGGATGGTCGAGAATGAGCAGAACGCAAAATGTGGATCAGCTGATAGGGAAAAGAAGTCAAGGAAAAAGTATGTTTGCTAAAATCAGTTTATACCTCGTGAACACTAGTTCCATCCAATTGGAAATAGAGAAGATGGGGTTACAGTTGAAGTTGTTGAACTTTTACTAATTAGACAATAGAAAATGTTGATATCTAGGAAGTGTATTGCATTAGTCTAGAAAGAGGTGGCATTGTCCTTCAAATTTTTCTTCTTCAGTGAGATCTAGTTCGTGAAGTATTTGCATTTTTGTTTCTGTGAACATATTTTGGCTTTGTAATCAATGTTAAATGTATGATATCTTGTAAGATTCACATATCGTGTGATTTTAGATATTTCTTGATTTTGAATTCTTGTTGGTGCATTGTACTTGAGTTGGGCTTTCAATCTCTTATGGCATTTTGATTATTGTACAGTACATTTTTTTTTTCCAAAATAAATTCACATTTATCGACTACAATTTAAATTTCCTTGGTCAACAATGGAGATTTTCCCCGACTAATCTCATGTGGTCAGTCAATGTTTATCACCAATCTAAGTAATTTTATTGATCGGCAAATGTATATTTTTTCCGACCAATGACTGTGGTCAACTTATGTTTGCTACCACCACTCACAGCTTTTTAATGAGTATTATTGCTGACTACATTTAGACTTTTACTGACCAAGAAAATTGTCAAGGAAAAACTCGATCATTTCTGACCAATACAGCTCTGGTAGGTAAAAACTTCTATATTCACCGACTAACATGTACTTTGGTCGGTGAAAACATTCACTGACAGGCTTTTGGCGACTAGCCACCGAATAGAGTTTACAAGTCAAGAATTGATTTTACCGACCAATATTAGACTTTTAATGACCAATATTCTTGTAGTGTCAAGACTTTATTACATCATCTTATTGATTTCTAGTTTTTATTTATGGAATAGATTCTCACTTAAATTTGCAGTTGACTTCCAAATTGTAAGTTCACATGATAATTTTATGTATCATATCACTAGTTATGTCATAAATTAAAGTCATTGACCAAAAATTTAGTTATTAAGTTTTGGCACGAATTAATGTCTTAAGTAATGTTCAATAAGCCCTAGCATTGATGCAAAAAGTAAAGAGAATAGACTCAAATGGTTGAATCAGAATTAAAGTTGTTGTCAAACAATTAAATAAACAAATAAGTGATTTTATACCTTTTTAACAAAATAGAACTTGAATAAGTAATAAAATTGAAAATATATAGATGATAAGGTTAATTCTGAGTTATTTTATTGATTTTTAAAATTTCAATTCACGCAAAATATTACTAAGACCAACTTCTTTTCAACTCTCGTTTTACGGGTTAAACCATTTCGTTTGATCCAATTTTTATAACAATGGTCTTAATTGAGTGACTATAATGCATAAATTTATCAATTTCATATTAATGAAAATTGATATGATTTCTGTTATATTAGTTATGAAAGAACTTTTAGCAACGTTGCAAACTATTACATATCTTCAATTCTTCTTGGTGGAACCAATTATTTCAATACAATTCTTATAATAGTGGTCTGAACTGAAACAACACTAGAAGACTTATCCATTCATAATATAAGACAATTGGAATGGTTTCTTCTGTAAATATTTATGCAAGATAAAGGTCTTTAGCAATGTTGCATGCCATGATATCTCATTAATTTTTGTTGTGTTTCACTACCTAACTTTAAATTAGAAAGAGTTCTATGTAAATTTTGGCAATTGTGTAAATTTTTGGGCAAGATTCTTCCGATCGCAAATCAATTAAGCATCTTTTTCGTGCTTCAGCTATCTCCAATCCTACATCAAAATTAAACACTATTTAACACTAAATTTTGCACCAAACTAAAAATCATTTCTAACCATTACATTAAAACTTTCACAAAATGAACACTTTTTAATTATTTTCTTCACTCTTTTTTTTATTCTTAACAATTTATATACTTGAATAATTATTTCTTTATTTATTTTATAAATTCATAAATTACTGAATAAATAATTACGTTAAATTAACGAAAATATTAAACTCATTAATAAATATAAAAAATATAATACAATTAACAGAAACACTATAAAAAAGAAAAATATTAAATCATGCCATTGAATAATAATAATAATAATAATAATAATAATAATAATAATAATAATAATAATAATAATAATAATTTATTGTATTAAAAAATATATAACACAAATTATACAAATACCATTAATTAATTTGTTTGACAAATGAAAAACAAAGTAAAATTGACTTTGCATCAATATGGTGCAAAGTTTGATGATACATTGGAGACATTTTGCACTAAAATTTGGTGCATTTTGGCATTTTTGGTATCGCCTTTGGAGATGCCCGTACATATAGATTCTTTATCTCCGCTTCGCATGATTTCTCTACTGACATCTGTTCAAATATTCACTTTTTTCTCTATCATTATCGCTCATTATCAATCCATATGAAGAGTTTGCAACAAAGAAAAGCTTATAGTTCAATTTTAACACAAAACTTAAGCAATAAGTTTTTAATTTCAAATGAAAAAATTTGATTCTTAAAAGTAAAGAATAATTATAGAAGCAAGATTAAAAAATACAGGAAGAAGACAGAAAGAGTAGAGAGAGCAGTAGCGGATCCAGAATATTGAGCAGCTAGAGCGGCCTTTGACTCTTGACGGCTACAATGGTAAAATTGTTTGTTAATAATTAATTAAATAGTATTAAAAAAATTTCAATCAATGTACAAATACACTAAAACGTAAAAGTCATATACATTTAAAAATATAACCCAATACAACCCAAAACAATGAGAAAAAATTGCATTTTCCAATCATATATGCATGATCAAGTTTCAAAATTTTTTACAAACATAAGCGAGATAACATGAAGATTATACATAAAGCATGATTAAAAGGTAAAAACAAGCTCTAAAGTTAGGCGAACGTTATGCAAAATTTTGAAAATAATGATTTTTAGAATTAGAATAATTTTTAATCTCAAAAGAAAAAAATTGTTTTTCAAACTCTTAAAATAGGAAAATTTGAAAAATATAGGAAGAAGATAGAAAGAATAGCGAGAGCAGTGGTGGATCCAAAATATTGAGTAGCTAGGGCGGCTTTGACCTTGACGATTGCAATAGTAAAATTGTTTATTACTATTTAATTAAATAGTATTAAAAAATTTCAATCAATGTTTAAATACACTAAAATGTAAAAGTCATAATCATTTAAAAATATAATCTAATACAACCCAAAACAATTAGGAAAAAAAATGCATTTTCCAATCATATATGCATGATTAAGTTTCAAAGTTTTTACAAACTTAAGCGAGATAAGATGAAGTTTATACGTAAAGCATGATTAAAAGGTAAAGACAAGCTCCA